GAGACTAGCCTGGGCAAAACAGTGAGACCCCTGTCTCTGCAAAAAATAAAAATAATTAGCCGGACATAATAGAACCAGTTGCTTGGAAGGCTGAGGCAGGAGGATCACTTAAGGCCAAGAGTTCAACACCAGCATAGGCCACATAGTGAGACTCCATCTCTAAAATATAAAAAAGTATACTTGCAAAGAGCATACTGATTTAGGATTGAGATGATTATTCCATTTCAGGTCTTTAGCAGAGTTGTGGTGGGAAATTAAACCAGTGACATAATCTTGGTCTTTGTACTTGTTCTTTTATGAACTGGAGTAAAAATGCTTGTTATCAAACATTAAATATGAAGTGTTTTGAACTCCTTGGATGAAATTCTTAATATGAATTTACTCAGCCTTGTAAAAAAATTTTAAAAATTAATTGACCTGCACAGATTTGTTATCAGCCTTCCCTCTCCCATGGTGCTTAACTTCTAGTAAAGTGAAGAAAATTAACATTTCTTCCTACTTGTGTCTCAGATATTAATGCTTATGAGGGTTGAGTAGATCAATATCTAGTATCTGGTATGGATCTATTATAAGCCACTGAAGTGTTGTGTGGAAAAACAATTCACCTTGGGATTAAATACAGATTTAGGACCACTTTAGGTCTGTGAATTTGGCCTTAAATTCATTACTCTAAAGTAATGAATCATGAACACTAAGAGGATAGAGAATAGTGTTTCTGTGCCAGGGAAATCCCTGGATAAAATGACCTGGGGGACAAACCCTCAAATCTGTAAGTTGGGCTCTATTTATCTGACTTTTTAAGTTCTGAAGCTGGTTAGGGACAAAAGCACAAAAGAACAAAATTAATGAAGGACTGAGGGTAGCATGTTTTCTTGCCTTCATTACTGGTTAAATCCGTGAGAACAGGAAGAAGAGAGTGGGGTGGAGAGAGAGAAAGGGGAGAGGAAAGAGAGAGCGTGAAGAGAGAAAGAGAGAGAGACAGAAATGGTGAAATGTTCTCTGAAAGACCTTTATAGAAACTTTGGGTTCCATAGGTGAAGAACAGACCCAAGAAGACTCAGAAAGCTTTGTGTTGTCCCTGAAACCCCCAGTCTTGGACTAGTTTTCTCGAAGCTTTCACCCTCCACTTGGGTTTGATTCTAATGTGAGACTCAGTAGTTAAGTGCTCCCTGTTGTCCCTTGGACCACTCAACTCCCTTCTTCTGTACTTCCTCCCCTTAAATAGTTCATATTTAGGACCAGAAGAGCAATTTAATAGATCTCAACCCTCAAAATATAGTTTTAAAACATTTTCAGATGATGTTCACTCTGTTGCCATCTTAGTTGCTTACAAAAGGAGTTTGTATATGGTAGATGTGGCAAAACAAACCTTTAGGGAAAAGATAGATTTTCAACAAATAAGTGAGATAGAGCAAACTCGATTAGGGAAAGAATGCAGAAGTACTTTGGGGGAATGTAATCTTAAAAGCTGGGTATTGTTTTTGATTTGCCTAAAGAACAGTAAAGACCAGATTTTGCCTATTAATACTGGCTTCAAAAACAAAAGTCTGAGGCTAAACCAGAGTTATGCTCGGTGTAGCCTGTAGAGTAAACAAAGATTGCAAGCTGAGCATGGTACTCCCAGCTATTCAGGATGCTGAGATACGAGGATCACTTGAGTCCAGGAGTTCAAGGCCAGCCTGGACAACATTAGCAGACTCCCATCTCAGGGGTGGGGGGGAGGATTGCAAAGAATGATTGGAGTTAGGTCATTTGTGTAGTCTTAGAACCTTGCATATGTGAGATGCTAACACCTTTTATCACAGTGTAGCTATTATATAACTAATGACAACTAATGAAGAAATACTAAAAAAATTAAACTTAAATACAGTGTTTATTTTTTTAAAAATGACAAGCACATATGTGGAATTTGAAATTGTTACTTTTAAAAAAATTTTGTGAGTTTGAGTCTCTGTCACTCGAGCTGGAGTACAGTGGCAAGATCACAACCCATCACAGCCTCAACTTCCTGGGTTCAAGTGATCCTTCCACTTCAGCCTCCCGAGAAGCTGGGACTACAGGCACATGCTACCACATCTGGCTATTAAAAAAAAAAATGTTTTTGTAGAGACAAAGACTTGCTTGTTGCCTAGTCTGGTCTCTCATATTCCTGGGTTCAAGCAGTCCTCTCGCCTCGGTCTCCTAAAGTGCTGGGGTTGCAGGTGTGAGCCACTACACTTAGCTGAAATTGTTAATTTTTGATCCATGCTATTCTTCTATTGAGAAAGATTTCTATCTAAGGAGTGTGACTGAGAGTTGGGGTGGATATTCAGAGTTATGTATATAAAATGAAATGAAAGCCAAACTTATATTTTCATTGATATTGAGTAGGATGCACATACTGTCTTAAAAAGACATAGATGTTGCTTCAGTAAAACGAAAGTAGACTACATAAGAAATAATGTTTTATTAGCTAGGCATCTGGGAACAGTAAAGACCAGATTTTATCAAGCCCTCATGAAGGACCTAAAATAGTGCAACAATCTAGACCTCTGGTTCAATTCAGTAAATTTGAATGAGTAGCATAACCTGGAATGTTGAGACATTCCAGACTAATGTTAGTGATGGTATTCAAATTCAACTAGAAAAAAAAAAATGATTCTGGCTAAACCAATATCTTTAGAGGAAACAGCTTTCAACAATTGGATCTCTCAAAAATGTCTGGATTTTTTACATGATTAAAACAGTTTTTTTTTTCATGATCCAGTACTTAAAAGTAACTTGTCTTTGGGAATATTCAAGACCTTACCTAAACTGTGCTAGGTTGGTATAAAACCTCCAGAAGTCTTGTATCAGAAAGTGAAAAAAAGACCAACTCCCTTTTCAGAAAATTATGCTTTGAAAATAAGCAAATTGGTGGGAGTCTCCATAAAAAAGCATTCTGTTGCTACTGATTAGACTGTGTGGTAAAGTAATATTTCTCTTTCTATTTTCAAAGTACTTAATTACCCAAGATATTTGTAAATAACATTAAACTGAAACCTTGCCTTGTTTGTAAACAATCATGCTGACTTTCCATTTTAATTTATTTTAATTTTGTTGCAAAATCTTTCCATTAGGTCCTCAAAAAATTGAGTAGGTATTGAAACATTATTACATGTTTGGAAACTCTAGTGCTGTAGTTGAAAAATGTTGGAATCACTTATTTTCTTAATATTATATTGCATATTTTCAAACCTTTTATAGGCACTAAAAAAAAAAGACCAGAAGATCTGGGCAGGAAAAAGGGAGAACTTTATTTTCTACAAAAACACTATGTGTGGATTTAGGGGTGTCACACTCTTCAGTACAAATGAATGTATGCTCTTCAAAGAACAAAGGGAGGGTTTGACTTAGGGAAAGGTCTCAGCTTGGTTCTCAATCAAGTCCACTTATGCAAATGAAGGATTCAATCTTGTTCAGTTCTAATTAACAGAAATAGTTGAACCCTGATTGGGTGGTTCCTGGAATTCTTCGTGAGACGTTTCTTTCAAAGGGCTGGTGGGCTACAGTTTCTGCCTGCATTTTATCCTGGCTCTGGTTACAGGAACAGTTGTGGCTCAACATTGAAGAACAGGATATGTGTTGAACTGTTTTCTTTGAGAACCCAGGGTGCATGGCCACTCTTTCTCACTCTGCCATGTCATTTAGATAGTCTTTATCTACAGGGAGCCCATCTCGTCTGGAGAGCTTGAGTTATTTTACAGTTTTATTTCACATAGTGAAAAGTATTTTTGAAATTTAAAAGTATTTTTAAGATTTTATCATGCCAAAGAAGTATAAGAGTTGAAAAACTGAGATGTCTTGAGTCCATGGCAAACATGTTTCATGCCTTATGCTTACTGCCTCACTCTTCCACAACTGCCTGGGAGATTGGTGTTCATTCACATTTCATAGCTGAGACAACTGCATCTCAGAAAGGCTCTAGTTTTTTGGAAAATTTATTAAAGAAGACACTTTAATACATAGTAATTATAAAAACCTCAATTTGCTTATTTTTATTTTTAAATTATGCTTTGTTTTATTTTTGTAAAGCTACTGGCATTTGTTGAGTATGCTAAACAACTCTTAGTTTAAGAAATAATAGTTTATCATCTTGTATTTCCACAGAGGTTGCACTTGGCAGTGAGGCTTTCTATGGCCCACTGTAGCTGTTGGCATTAAGCTCTTAATACATCTCAGAATATGCTTTTAGGAATAAATGGAGACAATTCCTTCTCTGGTTTTTAATAAACATTGTAAGAACAGAATTATATCCTATCGAGCCATCCTTTCATCTTATGGGAAACCTTAATAAAAGACAAAGACTTACACCTTTTTAGAGACTCAATATTCTTTTAAAAATTATCAAATTAGGCTGGGTTTAATGGCTCAGCCTGTCGTCTCAGCACTTTGAGAGGCTGAGGCGAGTGGATTGCCTGACCCACAGGTTCGAGACTAGCCCAGGCAACTTGGTGAGACCTCTTCTCTACAATAAATAAATAAATGAATTAGCCGGGCATGGTGACACATGCCTGTAGTTCCAGCTATTTGGAAGACTGAGGCGGAAGGATCACCTGAGCCCAGCAAGTTGAGTTGGGGTGGCCATGAGCATGCCACTGTACTCCAACCGGGGCGATGGAGTGAAACTCCACCTCAACAACAACAACAAAAATTGTCAAATTAAGGAATCACTAGAGTTTAAAATAAACCTATGACAAATATGCTTTGGAAGCAACAACAGTAAGCAAAACTTGATTTCAGCCAATGCAGTCAAGCATCAGTGAGTGTCACCTTCAAAAAGAGTGTGACAACACAGATGCCTGGACTCCACCCCCACATATCTCCACTAGGTAGGACAGGGTGGAGTCGAAGCATTTGCGTTTGGAGTAAGCTCCAGGGTGATATTGATGCTGCTGATGTAAATCATGCTTTGAGTAGGTCTGGTTTCGGGATGACCTGGGAAGCATAGCTGTGTTAACAATTTAAATTATGTTTTTCAGAAAAATAATTTCAACTGCATCAGAAGAGCTCAGTGCCCAGAAACCAATGTCAGTTCTGTACACATACAAGGTGATGCTGATTATTTCATCAACCATCTTGGAGTTCCCACTGTGCAGTTTGCTTATGAGGACATCAAAGCATTGGAGGTGATTGTTCCTAAAAATGCAGAACACACACACACACACACACACACACACACAATATAGTAGACCTGCAGAATTTGATTTTATCGTGGCTATTCATCTTTCATATCAAATAGGTCGTTACAGAAAGCGGCTTCATTTAGAGAGTTATTCTTGTTGTTCAGAGGCTTTGTAATAGTATTTGAAAACATCAGCTCTTTTCAATAGTGTTGAATTCAATTTAAAAAGATTTATTCTGTCACGTTTTCACAGTGTGCTTTGCAGTGAGAAATTGGCAGTAGTTGGATTAACATCAAAACATAATTGTAATCTTCAGTATTCACAGAAACAGATGACATGTGCAATAGATTCTCCTCTCCTTGCCCAAAGGAAAATACACTTCACATTCTGTATGTTAATGTGAGTCTACGGATTAGCTAACCAAAGTTTGTCAATAGTTTGCCTGCCTAAAAATGATGCTATTTTTTTGTGTGTGTGAAGATAGAAGGCTTTTTTCCAAAGAGTATCACAAAGGCATGACTCACCTTACTTAAGTCTGTGTTCATCCATCTGTTGGACTTCAATCCTTTTAATCTTTCTCAGAATTATGTCTTAGGAAACTGTTTCTCTGTGGATCTAGACCTGTTGGAATATTTTGCCTGTTCTACAAATTGTTCATGCATTATTGGGAGCTATTTGACAGCCTTTTGAGTAGCTTGTTGGAGGTAATTATTACATTAACAAAATCATGGCTGGAAAATAGAGTAAAACTTGCCTTGTTCTTCAAATGTAGATGTTCCTGAAAAGGAGTGTTTAAAGTTACATTTGTATGGGCTCAATTTCAGATATGCAATATCCTGATTTTTAATAACTTTTATGTTAGATATTATGTATGATATTTAACTTTATGTGTCTTTGCAGTCATTCATAAGATATTATAACTCCAATTTAATATGTGTCTACTTCATCTTGGTTGAGTTTTAAGCCAAGAATTTAGAGGCAGAATAGTATAGCCTTGGGCCTTGGAAATGGGACTAATGTCCTGACTCTAACACTTAGTAGACAAATTATGTAACATTTTTCAGAATTATCTTACAAATGAGGTGCCTTGGTATGCTTATGAAATCTACTTTATGCAGCTGTGGTTAGGACTAAATGAGACCATGCATGTAAAGTGTTTAGTTAACATCTGGCACATAATGAGGACTCATCGACCTTAATTGTCATCACAATTATTCTTGTCTGATTGTGGGTCCATCATATTAGTGAGACAGTTTCTGAACTTTTTAGATAAGAATGCATCTGTAGAAGGGAGTTGTTTGTTAATTGTTAAGGAAACCAAGCTTCTCGGTCTTAAAAGGTGGGATTTGGGGAGAATCAGCTAGAGGATCTGAGGTGTCAATAGGGGGAAGATTGGGAAGCAAGGAGCAGTAAAGTTCCAAAAGGTGCTGTTCTCAACAGTGAAACTCTTAAGGTTAAATTCTGTCTAACAGAATGGGCTTAGTCTGAAGAAGCTAATCAGTTTTTCTGAATATCCAATTCCCGTCATCAGCATAATTTTCAAATTATATTTGTCTCTAAAAAAGTAATTTAAAAAGAGTTCCCTATGTTTTATAACAAATGATCTTGTTTATATTGCTTTAGTGTAGGATTCTTTTAATGGATTTGTCCTTTATAAAATATAAATGCTTGAAATGAGATGATTTTGTGTGAACTCTCTAAAGAACAGATATTAACCTTTGATTCCTGTGTTAACTTATAATAAATATTTGTATATAACTATTAAGAGGAATTACAAAGATTGAAAAAGGCTCTATTCATGGTGTAAAAAATATTTATCTCTTGTCAATTAGTAAAGTAGGTAAAGAGATTGGAGCTTTTTTATAAATTTGCAATTAGATTTAAAATGTAATTCATATATATCAGGGATGTCAAAAAATGTAGACATATTTTAAGAGCTGTTTGCTGTGATCAGAAGTGTCTGGATGCCTATGGTAACCATTTTGAGCACCTTTTGTAATTATAGAAGTCAAATGTGACTTGTATTCATCTAATTGAGCATTATAATTTTATACAGTTTTTTCTTTTCTTAAAATATGTATTTTTTGGCACCCTCTGTATAATTCTTAAGGAAACAGATTGGTGAATTAGGAATCAGGAGGCCTGAGTTTTTAAATTTCAGCATGTTAATGGTCATATTACTTCGGTTTCTGCCTCTGTTTCTTTATCTGTATCTAATTAAAGCAAAAAATAATATCTACCAGTTATTGAGTACTTGCTATGCTAAGTATTTTATATCATATTTCTCATTTGATGCATTGTTATGTGTTAACTTTTACTATTAACTCCTTTCATGCTGAGAATGACATGAAATTTAAAGTCAAGTAGCTTATCCAAGGCCATAAAGTAATAAATGGCCAAGATAGAATTTGACCTCAGATCTGTTTGATAGGAAGCTCATGTTCTCAACCATTACACTAAAGATTACAAATTGGAAGCCCAAGGAAAAGTCCAGTCTGCCAATATATTTTGTTTGCCTTGCATGTTATTGCAAAATTGGATTTCTGAAAACATTGGGCTCTTTTTCTCTATGGAAACAATCCTTGACATGTTATCAAAGAGTATGCCATGTCGCTTGTCCAAGACTACTGTTAATGGAATATTTTCTTTAATACCTATTTCTATCAAAAATTGAGAAATGAATGATCAGCCTACAGGATCACATGTTTCACTAGACCTGGGTCACTCACTGTACCTGCCTGGTCTCCGTAGAAACCGAGCTTATTATCTTTGCACTCATTTTGTGTAAAAGACTTAAAGTTGCTGGGCTCGGTGGCTCAGCCTGTAATCCCGCGCCTTTGGGAGGCTGAGGTGAGTGGATTGCCTGAGCCCGCGGGTTCGAGACCCGCCTGGGCAGCGAGACCTCATCTCTGCTATAAAGTCAAAAATCAGCCGGGCGTGGTAGCGCACGCCTGTAATTCCGGCTTCTCGGAAGGCTGAGGCGGAGGGATCGCCGGAGCCCAGCAGGTGAGACTGCGGTGGCCGGGAGCGGCCACTGCCCTCCAGTCTGGGCGACAGAGGAGACTCCGACTCAAAAAAAAAAAAAAAAAAAAGAGCTAAAGTTAATAATTTTTTAGCTAGGTTCACTTTAAAAGTTTTGTATTCTACGCGAGCTAATTTTATTATACCCACGTTTCTGAAGAAATTGTCTATTTACAACTTGCTTGGGGGTGTAATGGAAATGATAAGCAAATCTTAGGCTTACTGTCAATATTTTTTTATCCACAAAGATTGATTATGGATCTATTGTATTCACTTTCAAGAACTGAGTCACAGTAATAGGGGAAAAGTTGAATGGCAGGAAAACAAACTTGTGTCAACGAGGCCACTTATTATGAACACGTGGGTCATTATTAGTTCTTTTTTTAATGAAACATGACATTTTATAATACCTATCCCTAATAATTAAGTTATTTACATTCCCACAAGTGTATTTTCCCTACAGTCTCTCCAGATGCAAATATATCGCATCAAATTGACTAAAGCACTTTTTATCTTTAGCTTTTCTTGGCATCTATACTCCAATTTTCCAATAATTAAATTTTACAAATGCAAACCAGTCTATGGACTTGCCAAATGTTTGAATGATTCCTTCTCATAAAATATTGCCCTGTTAATTGAAATATCTCTAGTTGTAATCTTCACTTAAATAAGGTTTTAAATTTGTAAACACTATTGCACCTGTTAGGAGAAACATTCTTCACAGATTAAATGCAATACAGAGATTGCTGAAAAGGAAATGAAAAGACAGATGCTTTCTGATTAAGAGTGCAATATTTATGACAGGCTTGTGGTTCAATGCACATTTCTTCTGCCACTTAACAGCTGTTTCACATTTTTGTTCCAGATCAGTATATTTATTCTCCATAGGGCATGTCATAGGGTCTGGCTTTCTTAGTATTTCAAAAGATCAATCCATGCCCTAGCAAGCTTTATACCACAAATTGGAGCTCTGGTTCCTCACACTGTTTAACCTTATATTTTTTGCTCTTCTGCTTGAAACATTCTATTTTAAACCCAATTTACCTCTATAATGGAGCATTTAACATTTAAATAATAATGAGCTAAAAGGGTGTCATAGCTTTTATATAGTGGAGTCATGGCATAATTGTTGCAACATCGTTTAATAGCCCAGAGACAGAAATCCAAGTAGCATAGGTGTTTTGAAATTCTTATTAATTTTTTTAAAGCTAGATGACTTTGATACCAATTCTGATTCTTAAACCAGTATACAGTGGTGTGTGTGTGTGTGTGTGTGTGTGTGTGTGTGTGTGTGTGTGTAAACTTTAGCACTGAGGTAATTCTGTAAGATAAAAATAATTTATTTGTGCAGATATAATACATATACAACACAACAATACACATGTACACATTTTCAAGCAAAGTAAACACATTTTGTCTGTTGATATTTTATGTCTTATTCTAAGTAGAGCAGAATTTGTTATTTAATTTAGAGATCACTCTTTCACTACATTTTCTGTATGGAATTTAGTCACTGCCATTGTTATGTTAATAGATAGGAGTAGTTCCAAAATCAATGAAAAGTTCTTGACTTAAGAACAAAAATAGTTATATTTAGTATGTATAAGTTCTATTGATGTTTTGCAATGGTTGATAGAATCTGTTTCATGCCAATAGCTATAAAACTTAGGCAAAGTCACTTAAAAATGAGATTTTACCTTTTCTACTTCAAAATGTGACAACTGGAAACAAGAGAGAAAAGGGTTCAATAGTGTTCTTTCTAGCTTATTACCTTCTTTGTCACTTATTTTAGGAAAAGTTGTCATTATATGGTATTGAAATATATGGCATTTTAATGTTTAGATTAGACTTGTTTCATTTAGGGCAAAAGCACCAAAGATTCCAAAAAAATAGTTTTTGTTTATGTGGGTAATATATACAAATATGATATTAGAAATGAAAAGTGGGAATAATGTATAGTACTTAGTTTCTAAAAAAGACTA